AGTACTCCTACATTGATCAGTTTCAGTACTCCTACATTGATCAGCTCCAGTACTCCTACATTGATCAACTTCAGTACTCCTACTTTGATCAGCTCCAGTACTCCTACATTGATCAACTTCAGTACTCCTGCGTTGATCAGCTCCAGTACTCCTACAATGATCAACTTCAGTACTCTTACAATGATCAGCCTCAGTACTCCTACATTGATCAGCTTCAGTGCTGGAAAGTTCCAGCACTGATAAATCCCAATTTTATCATAATACATTACTATTGTATACTAAGTACAGTATCTAATAACCCTACTATCTGCAGTACTAATATAAAATAATATTTCTCTACCTGCGCGTCATTTGCTGAAATTCTCACCACATCGAGAGGCAAATTGCGTTAGATAATATCCAGCAGGACATAGTTATTGTCAACATGTTAGAGAATTGAACAGTATTCTCAACCTCTATCAGTATTCTTCATAAGAATTAATCTCTGATAATATGAGAACTAGTGATACAATAACCACGAGTTATTAGCTAAAATATCACTATAACAGTTTAATCTGTTATATCCAAAAGCCATGGAGGAAATAGAAATTCTCTCAATTTCTCGTTAATAGAAACACTGTTCATAATTAACATCCTCTAGCGAGAATATAAACAATATATAATTCCCTACAATTACGACCCTATTCTCATTAACGCATTACGTATAGTAATTACACGGAAAAGAATTTTCCGTCTTTATTAAAATCAATTGCGAATGCGAGAGAGGGGAGTTGAGGGAGACGGAAGCGTGGCGACGCTAGGAGTCGGAGCCTGACTTGCGACGCCATCAGAGGTACAACTCGAGCGTCGGACGCGAGACAACGTAGCGTCCAGGGAGATGCGAATTTTCACCAATTCTCCGACAGGCCCTTGCAATTAATCGGCCTTGGAGTGTGCAACTGCTCCAATAGCAATCTAAGGATTGCTTCGGTGGACAACCAACAGGTTAAGTGTTCTAATATTATTATGCGAGCTCGTTATAATCTTATAGTGCACTTTGTCCATCGTTACTCCACAATACCTCCCCAAACGTTAAGTACGTCCGCAACGAATTTGCTCTGTCCCTTCTATTGAATAGTGATGACACAATCTAATTGGTGTAAACAAATTGTACATTTCATTGGGTTTTCAGCGTGTGTTGGAGCTGTCGTGGTCTCATAATTTTTCCAAGCTACGCTCGTGGCTCGTGTTCAAGCAAGCACCAGATGACGCCATTACGACCATTACTGTCCAATAATATTCAAGGAATAAGACTTAATAGTTTCCTTGTCCACAGGCACTGGCATTTCAATCCCTTTCTATTGTTCATTTATCTGTTTCCATTTTCAGTAAAAATAGGGTGGACCTTCGATTAATTTAAATCAATTAATTAAACATCAATATAAAGAGAGTAAGCTTTCTTCCCAATGATGATGATGAGTAATTCTTTGAGAATTCTTTGGAGACGATTCCTAACCTATACATCTCAAGGTCATGTTTTTATTAATGGATTTAAGTATCCCCTTTGTAAGCCAAGGATTGTTTTTTTTTTCTTCCCAACATTCAGTACTCCTACATTGATCAGCTTCAGTACTCCTACAATGATCAGCTTGGGTACTCCTACAATGATCAGCTTCAGTATTCCTACAATGATCAGCTTCAGTACTCCTACAATGATCAGCTTCAGTACTCCTACAATGATCAGCTTCGGTACTCCTACAATGATCAGCTTCAGTATTCCTACAATGATCAGCTTCAGTACTCCTACAATGATCAGCTTCAGTACTTCTACAATGATCAGCTTCAGTACTGCTACAATGATCAGCTTCAGTATGCCTACAATGATCAGCTTCAGTACTCCTACAATGATCAGCATCAGTACTCCTACAATGATCAGCTTCAGTACTCCTACAATGATCAGCTTCAGTACTCCAACAATGATCAGCTTCAGTACTCCGACAATGAGCAGCTTTAGTACTCCTGCAATGATCAGCTTCAGTACTCCTACAATGATCATCTTCAGTACTCCTACAATGATCAGCTTCAGTACTCCTACTTTGGCCAGCTTCAGTACTCCTACAATGATCAGCTTCAGTACTCCTACAATGATCAGCTTCAGTACTCCTACAATAATCAGCTTCAGTACTCCTACAGTGATCAGCTTCAGTACTTCTACAATGATCAGCTTCAGTACTTCTACAATGATCAGCTTCAGTACTTCTACAATGATCAGCTTCAGTACTTCTACAATGATCAGCTTCAGTACTCCTACAATGATCAGCTTCAGTACTCCTACAATGATCAGCTTCAGTACTCCAACAATGATCAGCTTCAGCACTCCTACAATGATCAGCTTCAGCACTCCTACAATGATCAGCTTCAGTACTTCTACAATGATCAGCTTCAGTACTTCTACAATAATCAGCTTCAGTACTTCTACAATGATCAGCTTCAGTACTTCTACAATGATCAGCTTCAGTACTCCTACAATGATCAGCTTCAGTACTCCTACAATGATCAGCTTCAGTACTCCTACAATGATCAGCTTCAGTACTTCTACAATTTTATTCCTCCAAGGAGTGCCGGACCAACCGGGCTGTGGTGGGTATGTGGGCCTGCGGGCCGCTCCAAGCAACAGCCTGGTGGACCAAACTCTCACAAGTCGAGCCTGGCCTCGGGCCGGGCTTGGGGAGTAGAAGAACTCCCAGAACCCCATCAACCAGGTATCAACCAGGTATGATCAGCTTCAGTACTTCTACAATGATCAGCTTCAGTACTTCTACAATGATCAGCTTCAGTACTTCTACAATGATCAGCTTCAGTACTCCTACAATGATGAGCTTCAGTACTCCTACAATGATCAGCTTCAGTACTCCTACAATGATCAGCTTCAGTACTCCTACAACGGTCAGCTTCAGTACTTCTACAATGATCAGCTTCAGTACTCCTACAATGATCAGCTTCAGTACTTCTACAATGATCAGCTTCAGTACTTCTACAATGATCAGCTTCAGTACGCCTACAGTGATCAGCTTCAGTACGCCTACAATGATCAGCTTCAGTACTTCTACAATGATCAGCTTCAGTACTCCTACAATGATCTGCTTCAGTACTCCTTCAATGATCAGCTTCAGTACTCCTACAATGATCTGCTTCAGTACTCCTACAATGATCAGCTTCAGTACTCCTACAATGATCAGCTTCTGTACTTCTACAATGATCAGCTTCAGTACTCCTACAATGATCAGCTTCAGTACTCCTACAATGATCAGCTTCAGTACTCCTACAATGATCAGCTTTAGTACTCCTACAATTATCAGCTTTAATACTCCTACAGTGATCAGCTTCAGTACCCCTACAATGATCAGCTTCAGTACTCCTACAATGATCAGCTTCAGTACTCCTACATTGATCAGCTGCAGTGCTCCTACAATGATCAACTTGAGTACTCCTACAATGATCAGCTTCAGTACTCCTATATTAATCAGCTTCAGTACTCCTGCAATGATCAGCTTCAGTACTCCTACAATGATCAGCTTCAGTACTCCTACAATGATCAGCTGCAGTACTTCTATAATGATCAGCTTCAGTACGACAATGATCAGCTTCAGTACTTCTACAATGATCAGCTTCAGTAGTCCTACAATGATCAGCTTCAGTACTCCTACAATAATCAGCTTCAGTACTTCTACAATGATCAGCTTCAGTACTACAATGATCAGCTCCAGTACTTCTACAATGATCAGCTTCAGTACTCCTACTTTGATCAGCTTCAGTACTTCTACAATGATCAGCTTCAGTACTTCTACAATGATCAGCTTCAGTACTCCTACAATGATGTCCATACTCTTCAGTGTGCTCCGTCCTGTTGCTACATCACAACTCTCAGACTTTACAGTGTTTACTTAGAGATGCTTTGCAATCTGTTTCATGTACCTTAGAATAATTGTTGAATATATGTAACCCAATCTAGATCGCTGCGTTTGTCACCTAAGGTCTGACTTCATGCGGCTGTTCCTTTCATTAAGAAATCCCAACACTCAGAGGACTTTCACTGGTGATTGTTACAGTCGTGATTGCACTTGCAGACTTCTCTTTTATATCTACCCTTACCCCTGTCGAGACTCCGGCATGTTAAATTGTTCATAGCACTAAACAGTATGGAGAAAACTCATGTTGCGCAGATACACCTTTCCCCTTATTATTTTCACTACGATTCCCTGCTACTACTTTGTTTATGGACTAGTTGAGGTTTGCTGATAGGTTGGAATTTTCTGTTACATTTTTAATTCTGTATATAGTATATCATGAAACCATCCATTGAGACAAACTTATAAAATCCAATTTAAAATTTATGACATATTATTACAGTCCTTGAAGCTCTTATAATTATACACACGCCCTAAATTTCCCATTGATGGGTACATAGACTGACCAAAAACTTGAACCGATCGCTTCTCTTGGATGCCTACCAGCATTTTTCCCTCTCAAGGTTGCTGTCATGTCGTGGTCAGCGGGCTCGTGCATTTGTCCTCCTCGCACAGGAGCGGGGGCTTTACTCCCTCTCTCTCCTGCCTACCACCCGTCCGACCGACTTGTCACGCAGTTTTGATGACAGCATTACCTGGCGCTCAGTGTGATGCTCGGCCGACTACGATACCTTGCAACATATATTGTAAACACAACAAAAAGAAGAAAATACAGAATGCAAAAAAAATAAATAAAGCCATTTTTTATTTCAAAAGATAAAGTAATCATCGACTCATAAATTTCCAGAAAGGTATAAATATCTATTATCACATATATATATGAAAGCATATATGTGAAACTCATCCCATAATCCAATCAAACCCATGAAGGGCTCTAAATATCTTAAGTTGTAGCATATGTCCTAATTAATATGTAAATCAGAGAGAGCACCCCAAACTTAATTCCTCAAATATTTTCTCTTCATGGCACAAACGGATATATTAATTTACAGAATGAGGCGAGGGATGGGAGGAGTGGTAGTCGTCGTGATGGTGTTGGTGGCCCTGGTGCTAGTGAAGGCTGAAGGAAAGACGGAGGCTGAGCCGCTCGAGGCCACGGTGGAGGTGCACCTGAAGCAGGGAGCCATCTTCGCTGCCAGGGAGGAGGCCGGAGAGGGAAGGTACTTCTACAGCTTCAAGGGCATCCCCTACGCCCAACCTCCTGTCGGCGACCTCCGGTTCAGAGTGAGAAATTAAACTGCAGAAGTATACTAAAATGTTTTACCGGCTTTCACTTGTTTACTGTTTAGAACACATCGTGCATTCATAGAATGTATCTTAATAATAAAAAGTAATAGCTATATAACGTGATCTTGAAAAATATGATAAGGACATCCTCTCCTCCTTGCACAGGACCCAGTGCCTGCTGAAGGATGGTCGCAGCCCAAGAATGGTTCACTGGATCCCACCGTCTGTCCTCAACTCTCTTACGAGAGCCTCTTACAAAGCCAGGAGGAAATAATAGGGAGTGAAGACTGCCTCTACCTTACTGTGCATACGCCCAATGTACGTTAAGTTTTTCAGTTTTAGTCGAACATTATTACAACATGCATGAATTCTTTGGTATGCGCCAGGCAGCGCAAGCATATTGTTAACAGTAATCGTTTAAAAATAACATATATGACTTTTTCTTGTTAATTTGTTTACATTTGGTAAAATATTCCTGTTCGTGTAGGTGCTACACTGAAATGTTTACCCCGCTTCTCGGTTTATATATATATATACTGAAAAGTTTACTTTAGTAATGGACAAAAATGTACTTGTAGGTTGATTAGTAAGGACCCCGTGTTGTCGATAATAACTCCTGCGGTTGAGAGACCTGAAGCCCAACACCACTTGTATGATACAGCACAGTTGTAGGAGATCGTAATACAGAATGGTTATAAGGTTTTATATATTTTGGACAGTAAGCATGGAAGGTTAAGTTCATCAAGGTTTTAAGATTCTTCCTTAAGAAAAGGCGAACAGTCGACTTCCCAAGAAAGGTGCGAAGAGGAAAGGACTGGGGTGGAAAAGAAATGAGAGGAGACTAAAAGAGAGGAAATAACTGGGATGAACACATGGATGAAAGGGCTTAACCAGGTCGATATATACAGCTAAAAAATTATCAAGCCAAGGAGGATCACGAAATATTATATTAAATTAGGACCTTACCTTACCTTGAGGTGTTTTCAGAACTTAGCGTCCCCGTGGCCCGGTCGTCGACCAGGCCTCCTCGTTGATGGACTGGTCAACCAGACTGTTTGACGCGGCTGCTCACAGCCTGACGTTTGAATCACAGCCTGGTTGATCAGGTATCCTTTGGAGGTGCTTATCGAGTTCTCTCTTGAACACTGTGAGGGATAGGCCAGTTATGCCCCTTATGTGTAATGGAAGCTTGTTGAACAGCCTGGGGCCTCTGATGTTGATAGAGTTCTCCCTCAGAGTACCTGTTACACCTCTGCTTTTCAATGGGGGTATTCTGCCCATCCCGCCATGCCTTCTGGTCTCATGTGATGTTATTTCTGTGTGCAGGTTTGGAATCAGCCCCTCTACTATCTTACACAAAAAATTATTATGTATCTCTCCCACCTGCGCTCAAGAGAATATAGATTTAGGCTCTTTAGTCGATCACAGTAGTTTAGATGTTTTACTGAGTGGACTCTAGCAGTAAAGGATCTCTGCACGCTCTCCAGGTCAGCAATTTCTCCAGCTTTGAAAGGGGCTGTCATTGTGCAGCATTACTTCACTCTATAAAGCACTAGCGTCTTGAAAAGTATCATCATCAGTATAGCATCTTTAGTGTGAAAGGTTCTTGTTATCCAACCTGTCATTTTTCTTGCAGTTGTGACGGCTACTTTACTGTGTTCTTTAGAGATAAGGTCTTCGGACATGAGTACACCCAAATCCTTTACATTGCATTTTCGTTCTATGTTATGATTTGTCTGAGTTTCGTACGTGGTTTCCGTTTTTATGTTTTCATTTTTTCCATTGCGCATGAGCTGGAACTTATCTTCGTTAAACACCATACTATATTCTGTAGCCCATAGAAAGACCTGATTTACATCTGATTGGAGATTTGCCGAGTCCTCTATGTTGTCTACTCTTATGAAAATCCTAGTGTCATCTGCAAAGGATGATACAGTACTATAGATTGTGTCCTTGTCTATGTCCGAAATGAGGATGAGAAAAAGTACTGGAGCAAGCACAGTACCCTGAGGGACTGAGCTCTTCAAGGTTGATGGACCTGATTTTATTTTGTTGACTATTACACATTGGGGTCTGTTAGTCAGGAAATTGTAGATCCATCTGCCTATTTTTCCTCTAATTTCTTTTGAACGCATTTTATGTGCAATAACACCATGGTCACATTTGTCAAAGGCTTTTGCAAAATCTGTGTAAATTACATCAGCGTTTTGTTTGTCTTCCATGGCATCTAATGTTATGTCATAGTGGTCCTGTAACTGTGACAGGCAAGAGCGCACTGTTCTGTAACCATTTTGTCCGGGGTTATGGAGATGCTGTGACTCCATGTATTTTGTGTATTCTATGTATTCTAGGACAAGATTCTTGATATAGAATATAAATAGGTAAGTACTTGATCTAATATTGAATTGCAGATGTGCATAACTAGTAAACAAAAAATACCATCGACAAGCGAACTAGCATGTTCCAAGCATGGGCTGGCCAAGATCATGAGTGAGAGTAATAAATAAAGGCAATTAATAGGTGCTGCCTCACGTGGACCAAAATCATCTGCAGAATGCTATTTTTTTATGATGGTCTCGTGTCCGAAGCACATGATAACATCAGTCTTGTCCAGATATTATGATACTGAAGAACGGTACTATCGGCAAGCCAGTGCAGTACAGTTTGGAGAATGCACCGAGGTAATGAGAGAGCCGTGTGCTTGTCAGTCAGCAGCAGTTAACCAGCTGGTGAAGAGAACATGAACTATTGATTGAACATGAACTATTGATTGAACTATTGAACCTGCAGAAAAAAACGGTATAAGTGAAGTAGATGGCTATAGGCATAGAGCCTTGCCCTACCAGGGCAAGAGCAAGCCCACGACTTGGTGTAGGCTTTGGTAGTTGCTGACTTTAGGCTTGACTGGTCTTTGGAAATGGAGCATCGTGTGTGTGTGCTGCTTATATCCACAGATACAGTACCTGACAAAGGTGTGAGTCGCCCAGCTCGAGCCAGCGTGTACTTATGGCATTAAAAAGAATAATGGTCTTGTGGGTGAAATATGAGGGATAGAAATTAGCGCCTGGTTCATGACGTCAGTGGGGTTCTCCGCCTATTTGGAGGGACACATATGGTAGGCTCAGTTTCACCAGACATTCACAGGGATTGGTTGTGTTGTGCATCCCACTCTAGCACCCACTTACATTGCTGTTATGACACACCAAGGAACTGGGCAAAGAAACCATTGATCTGATCATTGGTTTTAAGGAATGTTACGGACCCGAGCCCAACGTCCGAGCACGGAGCAGTGACGACCACGCCATATGTGGGTCAGCTCCCGAAACCCCCTCCAAATTGACGGCGACATCGAGTGAGGACAGGAAATACCAGCCACAAGGGCCAGTTTCCCGTCCTGATCAGCTCATAACACAGCCGCTGCTGACCTCTGGTGAGGTGGCGCTCAGACAGCAATGCCATCTATGGAGTGGATAGGTGGGCGTTTGGGCCTGAGCCGGTAAGTGACGTGCCCTAGAGTGTCCCGATTACTGATGACGTGTCTGATTACAGAGTCGACCTGGGACTGCTGTAATGGAAGTTGGATCAGTCTACCCAAGGCAGTCGTCTCGTCTCCAAGTGTTTGCTGCAGCAGCTGTGAGTCGCCCCCTGGATGAACACTGTGGTGTTAGCCTGCCTGTGAAGTGGCAGTTGAGGGTTTGTCATACCCGGGACTGACTGGTGGAGACGCTTAACCACTGGGGTGTTGTGGCAAGGAGAGTGGTCTGTGGGATCACACGAGGCTCCTGACTAGGGTTCGCAACCTTAGTATCGATCATGGAGTGGCCTAACCAGCGTCGCTGATTGGAACCTGCCAGCTACTGGCTGGACTTGTGGTTGATGGCCTCCACGACGGTGCCCCCAGTGGAACTGTGATTTGGCTAGCCGGTGGCCAGGGTAGACTCAAGAGGACCGAAGGGTTCATAGTGAGGCCACAAGAGCACCAAGAGCTTAGCATCGTGAGCACCGTGAACGTCCAGAGTCTTCAGAAGAAGACATTGTTGTACATTCTAGTGTTTATACCCTTCCCCCCCCGTGTAATCTTTTATATAGTATTTATGGTGATGGTGATAATTACATTATTAAGTTTTTGCCTTTATTTCCATTCCCCTTTTATTTTACTTGTGTTACGGATCACATCCCTTGAAAGCCACTACTAGCTTGGGGCCGGATACCCTTACTCTACTAACATCAGAGAAAGAACCCGGTTGCGACCCGAGAGGGCCGTAACAAGGAAGCAGGCCATCAAAATTGATATAAGGAAGTATTGATCGCGTTTCCAAGGGGGGAACAGTGATGACATTCCATCACAGACACATCGGTCAGGTCGTCCCAGAAAGTATTCTTGAAGCTCTGGCCTTGCTCTAATATGAAGGGTACTCTCTAATGAACGTTTACAGACCTTGAAAACATTTTCCAGGGACGACGAGACAGATGTTTCTGTGATGGAGTGTTGATTATCATTTTTTCCCCTCGGAAACGCGCTCACTACTTCCTTATTTCAATTTGGCAATTGATTTTTAATAGTAATAGTAATTATAAATAGTCATTATTTTGCCTTAATTTGGTGGCCTGCTTCCATAAAAGCAATGATCAGATCAAAGGTTTCTTTGGTTAGTTTCCAACACTGTAATGCCACCAGCACCATTGTTGACGGCAATAACAGATGGCGAGATGCTAGAGCGAGACGCACAGAACAACCACTCACTATGAACGCCCAAAGTCAACTAAGCTTCCTTGCAGCTCCAGGAAGCTAGGTGCACATAATGACATTGTGTACCCGACGCATACTTCAGTCTTTCACCCACAAGATCATCATTCTTTTTATTCCATAAGTATGCGCCACCTCGAGCAGGGCGGCGCATACTTTGTCGGGTACTGAAGGTGCATAATGTTATCACCTCTGCTTTGTAACCTGACTCGTACCTGCCACAGGAATACTTATTACTCAGGTCTATTACCTTTACTACCCTCACGGATATAATCCCATAATCCCTGTGATAAGAATATGCACTAATACCAGTAAGTATTGAAGAGAGGGACACAAACACAGATACAAAAAGTAACGTCTAATTGTTATTCTTATATCTGACACAATTTCTAATAGGCTCAATGATCACAATGATATATATATATATATATATATATATATATATATATATATATATATATATATATATATATATATATATATATATATATATATATATTTATATATAGGGGTACCACCACTGGTTTAATTAAAGGGACCCACATCCTCGAAGAAGAAAATAAATAGTGTTCAGAGAAGACCTTGTGGATTCTCACTGAATACTTTAATCTTTTCCTCTCCTACCACCCCTATTATTTTTTTTTTTTTTATTTTATTTTATTGCAATGTTACAGTTTACAGAAAACACACACTTATATAACAATATAACAATATACCAATCAGTGTTCGAAGACCTCGTCCAGTTCCTCGGGGGTCGGGTGCGTACCCAAGATACAACACGTATTTCCCCTCTGAACAGCGACACTGAGGCGCTGGAACATAAAACTGGCCGCTCTTGGGTCTCTAGTCTTCCCAATGAGTTCCTCGCCCAGCTCCTTCAGGAACTTAAGTGCACATTTACCCCAGGCGCCCAGAGTCTCAGAGCCTATTGGCACGAACCTGTAACAACGTTCTAGGTCCCTGTACTTGTTAGTTTTCTGGGTCTCCCTGAAGGTGGCCGCCCCGCCTCCCTCAGCTGCGCTGTAAGGTAGATAGGTATCAGCCAATGTGGATGCACACGTGTAGTTCCACACGACCTGTTTACCTTCTCTCCACGGCTGCAGGGTGACTCCATCTGGGCGTTTTTGGCTGTTGTCAGGCCTGCACAACTGAGGTTCCCTTTGTGCTGGGCACCCAGCTGAAGCCAAACTTCTCTTGATGATGTCATTGACTGCTTCATGTCTGGCAATCTTTCCCTGTGTCTTACGACAGATGAGACCATGGCTGCCGTATTGGTCTGCCCGTGCATGGCCGCAAATACACCGGTGCTCGGTGGAGATAGGGGCGGCAAGGCGCAGAGCAACACCAATACTTAGGGTCCGATGGTCCAGGCGGGTCCCCAAGGCGGAATTAGGGACTGCCAACAGGAAGTCCCCGGCATGGGGAGCTTGCACAGCTAGAAGACGCGCTTTGTCCTTCCTGGAAGCTGCCTCCAGCAATGATGTGGCGATGTTCTCCACTATGGGGCTATCCCATTTGGACTGTTTGCAGTCATTTGGAAAAGTCGGTCGAGGATGAGAGTTGACAAGAGTGTCCCACTGACCGGCTCCTTCCGCGAATTTGGGATCATGAATCCCAATGAAGTCTCTTAGGTGTTCCGGTAGTATTTCCTTAACTAATTCACCTGTTGCACTGGTCGAGGATAAGAATGCCGGCAATGCTAACTGGGTCGCCTTGCGAATACCTATCCCCCCGAGTCTAACTGGGAGCGTTGCTTGGTCCCATTGGTCATCTTGCAGGGAGAGGTTTAACACTTTCACGGTTATTGACCTTAGGAGTGTGTCATATTCTGTTAATTTTGGGCTGTCGAAGGAGGGAGCACACCTTAGGAAATAGGTCAGTCTGGGCAAAGCCAGGCACCTTGTGAGAAGGTACAGAGCATCGTGGGCGTCCAAAGCCCCTATTCTTCCCTCCATCCTCCTCAGGTCGTTCAGCTTTTCTTCGAGGACTACCTCAATGGCGCTCGAGCCCAGAGGTGCCCCTAGCAGCACACTGTCGGTGGGAGCGATCACTTGGGCTCCTGGCAATATGGTTCGCACTGTATCTATGGTTGGTTGGCTAGATGAGATGATTTCACACTTTAATGGTTTAGGGTGAGTCCTAACTCCTCTCCCTTAGATTTCACCAGCTGTAGATCTTCTAGCAGGGACTCCTGTGTCCCTGCCAGGGTGCCATCGTCCAGGAACCAGATGTTGAGTTCGCTGGTCAACCTGCTTGTGACCTCTTTAACAGCCATGCAAAAAAGAAAAGGGGCAAGTGGGTCTCCCTGCTGGACACCTTCTGCAGAAACAACTTCATGTTCCCCAAACAGCAGCGTCGATTCCCTACTGTACCCTGCTGAGACGAAGGGGAGTAGAGAAGGAAAGCTTGTTCGAACTGCTTCCAGTACCACATCCCTTTTTACCTGGTTGAAGGCATTTTAAAGTCTAATTTAATTAATGCCTTATTTTCTGGGAGGTGCTTTATATAGGCTCGTGCTGCATGAGCTGCTGCTTCACAGCCATGGGGGACACCAAAACCTAGTTGATGGGGTCGAAGCATCGTCGCAGCGTCTATGCTAATTTTTCTGACAGCTGCCCTAGCAACAAGGCGCCGAAGTGTGTTACCCACGGCAATGGGTCTGACTCCACCATCTTTCTTCTTGAGGGCACAATGGGATGCTCCAAAGAAAAAGGGTTTTATTGTATCTGGGATCAACCCAGAGAGGCAGTTATATATATATATATTTATATATATATATATATATATATATATATATATATATATATATATATATATATATATATATATATATATATATATATATATATATATATATATATATATATATATATATATATATATATATATATATATATATATATATATATATATATATATGCAATTGACGATCACAAAAGACTGATAATTTTATGCGGAAAATCCACAGAGAAATAAGGAATGAGGTGAACGTTTCGGCTTGTTAAAGCCTTTGTCAACACCAGACTGAGTCAGTCTGGTGGTGACAAAGGCTTTAACAAGCCGAAACGTTCACCTCATTTCATATTTCTCTGTGGATTTTCCGCATATATATATATATATATATATATATATATATATATATATATATATATATATATATATATATATATATATGTTTCATTGAATATGACCGCATATTCTGTATTTATTATTTTCTGGTTTAGGGCTTCTATCCCTCTAACTATTTTCTTAGCATCAGGGCTTAATTGAAATAGGAGTTCTCCAAAACTCATTTTCGTACTTTTAAGGTGAAGAAAAGAAGTGATTTACTATAGAGTGTATTACACTTATTTGTATAATTTGCACGACGTTTCGAACCTCCATGGTTCATTTTCAAGTGAACAGATCTTACAATACTAGTTGATTTTATACCCGCATTAGGTCAGGTGATAATACAATGAAGGTGAAAACATGGGGGGATACATAAGGGATAAATGTGAGGTGAAACATAGAGGCTGCAGAAGGCTTATTGGCCCATACGAGGCATCTCCTATCTAAACACAAAGATTAATCCAGTGTAATTGGCCTGTTATGTTGGACATTGTCTTCTGTGTTGGCATCGATATGTTCTTGTCTTGTCCTTACTCTCATGGTGGGTAGAGTAAATAGTTCCGTGATTTGGGTGTTCATGGTAGGTCGCTCTATTCTTATGTGAATTGCCTCAAGAATTTGTAATCTTCTTGAATCTTGGGTTTTGTCTATTATGCAAGTATTCTTGTTCAACATTTCTCTTGTTAGAGTAATGTCATGGGCTTGTCTCATGTGATTCCTAGGGGCACCAGATTGAAGATGGCATGTCAAACGCCTCGTCAGCTTGGTCGACGTCATACCTATGTACTTACATTGAAGGTTACATCCTTCGTGGGGGCAAGTGTACATGTATACAACGCTTGACTGCTGTAGAGGGTTCTCCGTCGGCTTCGGGCTGTTTTTGATAAGGAGTTCGGAAGTCTTCTTGGTTTTGTAGAATATTATCAGGTTTATGTTTTGGTTAGGAGTAGTGCTTTTTACTCCTTTACGGATTATTTCTTTCATTATTCTTTCCTCTTTTATATGTTCACTGTGCATGGTTGATTTGTAATATAATTTTATTGGGGGTGCTGTGGTTTCTGTTCTAGGTTCTGAATTATACCAACGGTCCAAGTGTCTTCTTATAGCAGCGTTTATTTCCGCGTTGCTATATCCGTTGTTCACCAATACCTGAGTTACTCTTTCAAACTCTCTACTCACGTTGCTCCATTCAGAGCAGTGGGTAAGCGCTCGACGAATATAAGCATTAAGAACACTGGCTTTGTTTCTTTGGGGGCACTCACTTCTACCGTTCAGGCATAATCCTATGTTGGTGGGCTTAGCTCTCCCTAACATAATCCTATGTTAGGGAGAGCTAAGCCTGTATGACTATATAGAAACAAATTATGTAACTTTTATAACAGCTGTAAAATCCAGCTATATGTGCTATACTTATTGTGGTGATTGTGTGCAGCCTCGCGCCTCCCACCTCCCGGTGATGGTGTGGATTCATGGAGGAGCATTCAAGTCAGGCGGGACTGCCACCTGGAACCCGCCGCTGCCTCTGCTCACCAGGGACATTGTTCTCGTCGTCCCCCGGTACCGTCTGGGAACTCTCGGTGAGTATCGTCTGCCGTTTCTGCTGTTTATTTTCAAGAGGCTGTCGACATTTTCAGAGGTACATTGCTCAGTGGTAAATATTTTGAAATAGTTCAGTAACCTAAAGTACAGTTTACTACTGTACTGCATATCTTAAGCTCGGCTAATTCATCATTCGTATGTATGCCAAGAAAGGAAACATGCAGATTAAACTCCTCTTATGAAATAAGTGCATGGAATGTGTAAATTTTTAGTGAGGGGGAATGCAGTAAGGAAGACTGTTGAGAATGAGTTTCGTTATCTTAGGTCGGCTAGTATAGGTTCTTATACATTGGTTCTATAAAAACATTCACAGAGCATGTTTGTCAATCATTGTTGTCATGTATAAATTGTTCATAACGCTGCTGTACGTCGATGTTAATATTAAAACATTCGAAAAATGCAGCTAAATTAAAAATTCAGATACATTACTGAGAGATGGTGTTGAGGATTGTGTTGTCCATGCAGGGTTCCTGTCCACGGAGGACTCTATAATGCCGGGTAACTTGGGCCTGAAGGACCAGACGCTGGCACTACGCTGGGTGCACAACAACATTCGTGACCTGGGTGGCGACCCAAACAAGGTCACCATCTTCGGCGAGAGTGCTGGAGCTGCTTCAGTACACTTTCAGATCTTGTCGCCAAGTGCCAAAGGTTAGTCATGATATGTGTGTGTTTGTGTATGTGTTTGTGTATGTGTTTATGCATGTGTTTTTAATATCATATATTTATATTATTATGGTATACTCCACCAGGTTTGTTCAGGCGAGCCATCCTTCAGTCAGGGTCAGCCTTGTCTTCCTGGGCCCTGAGGGAGAACCACAGGCAGGTGGCCCTCCAGCTGGGGCACAAGTTCAACTGTACTGACGCGGTCTCGTCGTCGCCTACACTGGAGAGCACCCAGCTCCTCGCCTGCCTCCAGCAGCTCCCACTGCAAGAACTTGTCTTGGCAAACAATCACTTTACAGTTAGTGCTGAGTTATTTATGAATTGACCTTTTTAATTATTAGACTTAAGCAACAAAGAATTTCGGAGAACATACATTATATTATTTCCAGTTATCAATGAAATAAGAAAAAGGACCTAGATTCATGAAGCACCATATTTTCTTCGTAAGTAGGTGTGCTACGAAAGTCCTTAAGTACTCGGTAAGAAGAGCGGGATGTACGATTCAGGAAGGCGTTCACACGTAGTTATTAGAAATTTTTGAATAGCGCACTTAAGTCTCTATAGATGTCACATGGGATTTTCGTTTGGCAAATCAGAGAGAAGGTAACATTGCTCATCTTATAGGTTTAGTCAATCACTTTGCCGGTTTATCGGGGCTCATCGGCCGTTACCGATGAGGGTGACGGCTGTCATCTATTTTCATTGTATTTTCTTATAAAATTAGTTTATTTCGAAAACTATGTTTTTTCAACTTCTACAGTGAGCATCGACATTGCAGAAAACAAACATGTTACCATTTTTCTCCACCTAGGTTATTCTAAGAGATATTGTGTGGCTTTTGTTGTCACTTGGATGATTGAAACGCGATGCGCTGACAATTGTATATATTTACCTGCATATACCCAAGGGCCACTAACTCCTTAGTGGAGGCGTGCTGACGTGGCCGTTTTGACATGGGGGGCCTTGCAATTCCTCCTGTTTTGCGGGTGAATTCCGTGGGACTAGAATTCTCGTGCAAGGCTGGTTATCCGGCCATTGAGTTGGTGAAGTGCGACATGCTTCGTGTCCCGGTGGAGGCTGTATATGGAGTTGAGCTTGTTACGGCCCACCGGGTGATTGTCAAGTTCGTGTGGGAGGAGTATCGGGACTTCCTCCGGCGGAACGAAGGGCGTTCGTTGCAGTTGCCGGATGGCGCCGGCTCCGTTACGGTCTCGGACCGAAGTGGAGCCCTGACATATGTCAGTGTGCACGGTGCGCCCCTGGAGTTCCCTGAAGACCTTCTCCGGCGCTTCTTCGGGAGGTATGGTGCTGTCATCAGTGTGCGGGTGAACACGCTTTCCTCGGGGAAGTATGCTGGGAAGCAGACGAACATCCGTACCTTAGGTATGCACCTGCGGTCGGATATCCCATCTTCTGTCCGGCTGCTAGGTTACTACGTTCGGGTGTATTATGCCCGGCAGCCCCGTACTTGTTTCCGGTGTGGCCAGTTAGGGCATCAGGCTGCCGGGTGCTCTGAGGCCCCTGCTGCACCTGTTAACTTGTTTCGGGAAGAGGATTTCCCGCCGCTCCCTCAGGGCGTGGATTCCGGAGATGAAGAGGATGCTGAGCATCATGCGCCACTCCAAAGGCTAAGAGGAGAGGGAGGGGCTCCTTCCCACGAGGCCGGGCAATGGGCAGCGCACTGGGAGCCTCCTCGGCTGCCTCACAGGGCCCCGCGTCAACCACCGGACGTTGTACCTGCATAGACCCCCCACGCTTGGCATCCTTCTTCAGTATCAGCTTGATGCCTCGGCGCGCACCAGAACTCTCAACATCCACGTCTGTAGGAGCGACCACCCCCCACTGCGGAGAACCTTCTGCAGGAGAAAGAACAGGAGGTAAATCATAGGTACAAACATTGTCAACAGCAGACACATGGACGTCAGCAACCACCAGCGACGTAGAGCGCGAAGCACCCGGAACCGCTATATCATCGCCCGAAGCTCCACCTGTGCCGAAGTCCTCCACATCAGCCCAAGCAGTCGAAGAACGCCTGGAACGCTTGGGCACCGGCCGCACATCCTCACTGCCGGAGGTGGATCCAGAACCACGGACCTCACAAACCGTGTGAACCGACGCCCGTCGCAGTACGGCAGCAGCCTCAACCACAGGGGGAACCGGGCCGCACACTACAGGATGCTCCGCAGCCCCCCCAGCACCCAGCACAGCCGTAACACCTGGCGAGGGCTCAGGGCCAGGCACAGCAGCAGGAGACGAGGAAGATGTAGACGACTCGCAGAGACCATCCGGAAGACCCTCGGGAGCAACTGGCACAGCGAATTGACCAGCGACAGGAGCCACCGGAACACCTGGAGGAGGGACAACAACCACCGGGGGCACGTCGGGTGACGCAGGGGGGGGGGGCCGCATCAGCAGCGAATGGGACCTGCCCCTCTTCATATCCGGAATCCACGCCCTGAGGGAGCGGCGGGAAATCCTCTTCTCGGAACAAGTTAACAGGTGCAGCAGGGGCCTCAGAGCACCCGGCAGCCTGATGCCCTAACTGACCACAATGGAAACAAGTACGGGGCTGCCGGGCATAATACACCCGAACGTAGTAACCCAGCAGCCGGACAGAAGATGGGATATCCGACCGCAGGCGCATACCTAAGGTACGGATGTTCGTCTGTTTCCCAGCATACTTCCCCGATGAAAGCGTTCACCCGCACACTGATGACAGCACCATACCACCCAAAGAAGCGCCGGAGAAGGTCTTCAGGGAACTCCAGGGGCGCACCGTGCACATTGACATAAGTCAGGGAACCACTGCGGTCCGAGACCACAACAGAGCCGGCGCCATTCGGCAACTGCAACGAACGCCCTTCGTACCGACGGAGGAAGTCCTGATTCTCCTCCTCCCTCACAAACTTGACAATCACCCGGTGGGCCATAACAAGCTCAAGTCCGTAGACAGCCTCCACCGGGACACGAAGCATGTCGCACATCACCAACTCAACGGCTGGATAACCAGCCTTACACAAGAACTCCAGTCCCACGGAATTCACACGTAGAACAGGAGGAATTGGAAGGCCCCCCATGTCAGAACTGCCACGTCAGCACACAGCCAGGCAGGCAACAACACTGGGAGGGCAGAAACACCCCCACCACCTGGTGACCAAATTGGCAAACAACCCCAGCAGTCACGGTGGACGGGACACGTCCCCACACCACGGCTGCTCAGGGCGAACTCCATCCACCAGCTCCTGTATTAGTACTAGTCAGCAGCTCGGCCACTCACGCCACCCACCTCCCACCCACTGTTTCCTGAACGCCCTGCTACCCACCCGCTCTGTGCCTGACCTGCCACCCACCTCCTTAGTCTACCATCAGCCATCCACCTTCTTATTTATTTATTTATTTATTTATTTATTTATTTATTTATATGCAAGAAGGTACATTTGGGGTTAACAGCGAACATAGAAATTAAGTTGAATTTACATTCTTGTAAAGCCACTAGGACGCATAGCATTTCGGGCAAGTACTTAAACTAACATAATTTTTAGATAATTTAAGAGTAAAACTGAAAAGAAAAATGTTAACAGGTACTTTGCAGCTTTACTTTAGAGGTACAGATAAATTTAAGTAGAATAATTACAGTAATATACACAAAAAATGTTTACAGGTATATTGCAAGAAATTTTGACACAAAAGCAGATTAGAATAATACACAATAATGAAACAAGAATTACTAGGTACGTTAGGATAATATTTCAGGGTTATACATTGGTTCACTGGAGTACCATTTGAGGATCATTTCAAGGAATAATGCAGTAGAGTATGTACTCAATACAACAACCAATGAAATCAAATGATATCTAAGATTACAATGGCAAAGTAATATGGCTTAGGTACATATATTGGGGGACTGGGTAGCACTAGATACAGTGTGAACATAAAGCACTAGGTAGAAAACTATGAAGATGAAATTAGGTACTTTTTGGTTTTATTTTTGAATAAGGCATAAGTTGGACCGGTTTTCAAATCATTAGGGAGTGAGTTCCATAGACTAGGTCTCTTTATTTGCATAGAGTATTTACACAGAGTGGTTAACATGGTTTACATGGTCGAGTGGGGTCTCCTGTACACCAGTTGCATAGTGCTCTTGGCAGTATAGGTTCGAGTCACTTCTGGTGATGGAGTTTTCAATTATATATATATATATATATATATATATATATATATATATATATATATATATATATATATATATATATATATATATATATATATATATATATATATATATATATATATATATATATGTCGTACCTAATAGCCAGAACGCACTTCTCAGCCTACTATTCAAGGCCCGATTTACCTAATAAGCCAAGTTTTCATGAATTAATGTTTTTTCGTCTACCTAACCTACCTAACCTAACCTAACCTAGCTTTTTTTGGCTACCTAACCTAACCTTACCAATAAATATAGGTTAGGTTAGGTTAGGTAGGGTTGGTTAGGTTCGGTCATATATCTACGTTAATTTTAACTCCAATAAAAAAAAATTGACCTCATACATAGAGAAAAGGGTTGCTTTATCATTTCATAAGAAAACAATTATAGTAAATATATTAATTCAGGAAAACTTGGCTTATTAGGCAAATCGGGCCTTGAATAGTAGGCTGAGAAGTGAGTTCTGGCTACTAGGTACGACATATATATATATATATATATATATATATATATATATATATATATATATATATATATATATATATATATATATATATATATATATATATATATATATATATATATATATGTCGTACCTAGTAGCCAGAATGCACTTCTCGGCCTACTATCCAAGGCCCGATTTGCCTAATAAGCCAAGTTTTCCTGAATTAATATATTTTCTCTAATTTTTTTTCTTATGAAATGATAAAGCTACCCTTTTCATTTTGTCTGAGGACAATTTTTTTTTAGTGGAGTTAAAATTAACGTAGATATTTGACCGAACCTAACCAACCCTACCTAACCTATCCTAACCTATCTTTATAGGTTAGGTTAGGTTATGTAGCCGAAAAAGTTAGGTTAGGTTAGGTTAGGTAGGTTAGGTAGTCGAAAAACAATTAATTCATGAAAACTTGGCTTATTATGCAAATTGGGCCTTGCATAGTAGGCTGAGAAGTGCGTTCTGGCTACTAGGTACGACATATATATATATATGTATATATATATATATATATATATATATATATATATATATATATATATATATATATATATATATATATATATCTCCCCACCCCCCTCCGTGAGGT